AGCGCGGGAGGTAGCGCGTTCCCGCCGGGACGCTGAGGGGGTTGTGTGGGGTGGGAGATCTCCCACTGCGGCCCTGAGGTCATTGGGAGCTGGAGGGAGGGGGGGAAACGCGGGGTCCCTGAGGTGACTGGGCCCCTGAGGTAACGTGGGGGGCAGACGGGACACCCCACACGGTCCCTGAGGTGACTGGACTCCCAAAGTGATGGGGGGGACACCCCAAAAGGCCCCTGAGGTGATGAGGGGGACCCCAGGGGGGCTCTGAGGTGACAGGGACACTGAGGTGTCTGGCCCCACCACAGGGCTAGACAGCACTGATGGCCCCTGAGGTGACAGGACCCCTGAAGTGATGGGGGGGGACACCCCAAAAGGCCCCTGAGGTGATGAGGGGGACCCCAAGGGGGCTCTGAGGTGACAGGGACACTGAGGTGATGAGGGGAACACCCCACAGGGCCCCTGAGGTGACTGGATTCCCGAAGTGATGGGGGGGCACCCCAAAGGGCCCCTGAGGTGATGAGGGGGACCCCAGGGGGGCTCTGAGGTGACAGGGACACTGAGGTGTCTGGCCCCACCACAGGGCTAGACAGCACTGATGGCACACAGACCAGGGTCCCTGAACCATAGTGGCCCCTGCCAGAGATCAGTCGATGGCCCCTAGGTCACACACTTGTCGCTACAGTGCAGGAGCCATAAGGGGATGGTAAGGACAAAGGGACCCCAGGAAGGGACAGCCACACTTGGGAGTCACCCGTACCCACTGGGACAACTCACTTTTTTTGCAGCCTGCAGGAGGTACCATCGGGGACCTGCCAGGGAGCACGATTCCTGCTCTCTGGGCAGCACTGAGCCAGGGCAAAGCTGCAAGCAAGCAGTCGTGGACCGCACAGCACTGATGACACGAAGCACAGGTCAGTGGTGTTAACAGACACAGTTTCCTTTGCACAGAGATAAAGTTTTCTCCCCTGTCCTACTGTCCCAGTAAGTTTTGAGGCAAAGCACTACAATTTACTGCGACAGGTGGGACCCTGCTTTCTTCTGCCACAGCACAAGGACACTCCACAGCCCTGTGGTCTCCTTTGTGAGCTCCTTCACCAGCCAGCTTTCCCACAAATTCCACTTCCCGTGAGCTTTATCATCCTTTCTCTACACCTTCCCTTTTTGAGCCGTGCCTGGTCTGTTTTGAACCCACACCTGCGCAGAAATCCAGTTGCACACCTCTCAACTCTTCCACAGCTCCCTACTGTTACGAGCCCTCAGTCTGTAATGTCTGCTAAGAATTAAAACTGAAGATTAACGAGGCCCTTACGTCCTCAGTCTCTTTGTAAAGCTTAGCAGGGTGCAGCTGCTATTTAAGTACTTCCTCAGAAAAAAAAATGCCACAGAACAAAAGCCCACAGTATCCCCAGGGTAGCAGTGAGATTTGGACTGTCTCTGCCACTGAAGCATTGGTGACTCTGGTAACATCACCCAGCCTCTACTTAGAGCTAGGAAGGGGAAAGCTGTCACCATGCAGGGGTGAGACCCACGTCCCCAAGATCCCCAGCGCTCTCTTGGTCAGGCTTCAACTCACAGAAAGCAACAACTGCCAGTGATTTTGAGAGGTGCAGAAGCAGAAAAAGGATCCACAGTGGTACAGGACCACAGCTTGGCAGCCTCTCCCTCTAGATCTTGTATTCTCTGAGAAAACACTGGGGAGCAACTGGAAAACAACCTTCCAGACCATGCCTTGACAAGTGAAATTAGGGTGGTTTTCAATTACACTGGCTCAATCCATTAATGTAACACAATTGAATACCCCCTGAAGACTTGTTAAGATGCAGACCAGCACGTTCGAAGCCACGTTAACCTGACATATTGATGCTGGGGGGAGGTGGGGTGGGACAGAATAAGGAGGATTACTGTGGTTAATAAGATTGAAAAACAAGTCATTTTGTCCATCAAGAAAGTAAAAAGCCCCAGAATAAAAGCAGCTCCTCATGTGGGGCAGCTGATCCCTTCGTTCAGAGCATGCAGTTACAGCAACAGACGTCTTTGCTAAGAGAGAAAGGGCTAAATCCTGCCCATCCTTACATGTGTGGAAACCTACTGACGTCAATAGCTGCAATGGTGTAATTGAAGGCAGAATGTAGCTCAAGGGGTCCCGTTTTATTACTCTAAGAACAGTACAATGTATTAATATGAGCACAGAAGTCCCCAGAGATTCCAGCACACATTCTATATTTTTTTAAGACATGTGACCAGAGTTTTGACATCTCTGGTTAGAGAATGCATCTTTTGGGAATTAATAAAGCATTAGTAACATTCAGCATGACTAATGTGGTCATTAGAAGTTGAGGGTTTGGTTTTTTTTTTTAACCTTAAGACTTAAAGAGAGAAACAGGACAGAAATAATTATTCCTACAAAGACCAGAGTTTGTTTTCCTAAGTTTTTCCCAGCCACACTTAACTACGTGGAACAACAGCAGGTCAGATTCTCACTGAATTTTCATCACTGAAAATTAATAGCCCCACTGAAGTCAGCACACGTGTCATGAACTTGAGCTAAGAGTTGCAAAAATTTGGTATATTCAGCATGTTGGAATTTCTAACACACTTATGGTACATTATGCCATTTATTATGGCTCATTAATCAGATCTTTCTGGATCCAGTGCTGATTAAATTTATTAAATACCCGTGCTAAAAGCTCTAGGCACTCTAACAGTTAATTAAGTTTACAGGTATAAATGATAATCACAAAGAATTCATATCTAAATAACTAGTTCTCTACCAGCCAGCAAATCAAGTAACAAAACAGCTTATTTTCCCTGCACTGTTTCAGAAGGAAAAATCTATTTAGGAAGAAATCTATTTCTGTTTTACTTGCTCTTCAGACTCTTCAAGACTCTCATATTGGTGAGGAACCAACAATATTTTCTCAGAGAAAGATGCACTCTGCTTCTTCACGAGGAACCCACTGTCCTTCTTGCAAATCTCCCTTCCTAAAACCATCCTTAGACCTTCTCTACAACCACCCTTTCTGTCCAGGACACACACTCCTGCTACACAGCCTTCCCAGGAACCATGAAGGAAGCTCAGTACAAAGGTTAGTGGCTGAATGAGGGTGTTTCTGTGTATTCTGAGACCAAGCAGGGGATGGAGAAGGGAGGAGAATTAAAAATGACAGCTGCAAGCCAGATAGATACTGAAACAAGTAAAACCAAAAGGACAGATAGCTCAAGAGATCCAGTTTCCCTCATTTTCCTGCTGTAAAAATAAAGAACCACTAAAAAAAAAATATATATATATTCAAGTGATATCGTATCGTTAAGTCTTATAAGAAATTTTTGGCTCTTATTCCCCAAATCCTTCCTTATTCCATTAAATCTGCTGAAGTCACCAGGATTTCTCAGATGAGGAGTGGTGTGCAGGGACAGGACATTTACTACCTGCCTTTCAAACAGGGAGATAAGGCAGTTGGAATTCTCTTTCAGTGCATGAGAAGGGCTCCTGCCAGGCTTATTTCTTTATCTATCACAAGGCTTCATTGGTATCATCAGAGAGGAAGGAGATTTTAATACTCCCATCAGATATAAAAGATGAAGGCAAGCTAAGAACATACCCATAATAGGAATGTAAGAATTCCTGTGTAGATTTTGCCACAGGGAAATTAATTTGCTTTGGGAATAGACAGCTCTTGAACCAAATCAAAGATAAAACTCCGCTGAAGAATTGTCTCCACGCAACAGAAAATCTCAAAAGCTGTAAATAAACAATACAAACCAGCACAACACTTGCTGTCAGAAAGGCTCCATCTCCTCACAACATACAGCTTTTTATTTTGTTAAAAAAAATAACAAGACACTTCCACGTGGATATCTTAAAAAATAATAATAAAAAAATCTCTCATGTAAATGTTTGCAGTCAAGGAAACTCTGCCCTTGCATGTATTTAGCTGGAATTTCTCCTTTTCCCTCCTGCTGATGATTGGTGATCCCCTGCACGAAGCACTGTACAAAGAACCATCACAACCACAGGCCTGATCCCAGACATGCTCAAAACCATGGAGGAGAACAAGAAATAAGCAGAGCATTCACATTCAAGACCTTTGCTTTGAAACAGGGGAAAAGAGATTGAGAAGAGAAAAAAAAACCAAAACCTTGGTTGCCTCCAGTGCTGCTTTTTGGAGGGACTCCTGATCCACACGGGCAGGGGAGAAAAGAGGATGTGGTCGCTCTAAACCAAGCTCCAGGGTGTCCTTTCATCTGATCCCCGCTACAGGAACCTGCTGCTGCTTGCGGATCTTGTTGAACAGCTCCATGTACTGAACCATCGTGTCCGCTGGGCTGTAGACACTGTCATGCTTGGTGCTGAACACAGATGGGATGCCAGGAGTGTGGTTCCCCATGAAGCTCTGCATGAACTCCATCAGCAGGTTCCAGCAGTCGTTGGCTATCACACAGGGGCAGTACTCCACCTGGCAACAGAAAACACAGCCCCTGAAGCTCACAGCAGGGGAAATAACCACACACTTTTCTCTCTCTGCCCCACAAGAATGCTTTTCAGAAAAAAACATCTGAAAATATTTAGTGTAAAACAAAGATGGACAAATATAAATGAACAGGACGTGCTGGGAAAACACAAGCAATCCCTTCAAAAGGAAAGGTAAAATGTACCCTGTAAGGATATTGCTTTTAGTAAATCCCCAAGAGGGGAGGTCTTGGGACTTTGGTTCAAATCATAGAATCCCAGACTGGTTTGGGTTGGAAAGGACCTTAAAGCTCATCCAGTCCCAACCCCCCTGCCAGCAGCAGGGACACCTTCCACTAGAC